ATCCCAAATTATGATTAGTATTTTTTGCCGAAATCCCAAATCCCAAATCCCAAATACTAGTAATTTGAAATTTTGGCGTTCCAAATCCCAAATGATTTGGGATTTGGGCAACACGTATATACATAGTACACATAGTACGTAAAGTACACTTAGTATACATAGTATATAAAGTATGTGTAGTGTACATAGTACATGAAGTATGTATAGTACATATCTTGCACGATTTATCTGTAATTTTTTATTATATATATATTTATTGCTAATGTACATAGATGGGAGAACGGAACCTTGAGAAAGAAATACATCATATCCTCCAATTATCTTCTAAATTGCGTGAATATAATAGTAAGTTGCGAGGTAAATGTATTAAGCAAGAGCAAGATTTTAGTTGAGAAAGGGAAGGTTGGGATCAAGAGAGAAACAAGTTGGGTCAGAAACTAGGAGGAGCTAATACTGAGACCCAGAAATTACACAATCATGTCCTGAAACTTATTGACAAGGTTAAGCGTCTACAGATTGAAAAAACCTGCCAAGATATTTCTCACGCAGAGTCTATAGCTAAGAATGCTACAAAAACAGAGGAGATTAAATTACTTCAGAACGAGATGAAATCATTAAAAGGTAAGTTAACTTTATCCCAGAAGGACTCATTGAATAAAGGGTCTGAAATCGAATCTCTCAAATCTAAGATAGTTGAACTGGCCTTAAAAGTTAGTGAGCTGGAGCGTCTGAAATCTGAGGATATATTGGAATCCATTGTTGGTGGGGATAACGAAAAAAATATAACCAAACCAGATAATAGCTTTGTAATTAGTGAGGAATCAGTAATTCGAAACTATGCCTCACCTATCAAAGATCTTAGGCCGTTTATAGTACACAGAAAAAATATGGATGAGAGCGAAAAAATCGATAATAACGGAGTTAATGCTAAAGCACATATTGTACTGGTCCATAGCGGAGTAGTACCTGATATATCATCTAATATACCTCCAAATAATACACATATAAGCTCTATACCCGATATATCACCAGAGGATACGTATATAAGCTCTGATGTATCACCAAGTATGCCCAAGAGTGTGACGCCATATCTTGCACAATGGGAAAATAATCCTACCTCTTTGATTGAATCGCATCCTCAGATTTTGATAGGAGGGATGGAAGAGATGAGACCTAGTCTCGAGGCTTTGCCTCTTCCAATAGAAGAGATAGGTGCAACTCCTGTTATAGCAAGTAGTTTAATGTCACCATTATTAGCATATATATTACTTATCTTATTGATTATTGCTGTTATATGGTTTATGGTATTTAGACGTGAATGGGGCATAAGTAAAAAAATAAGCAGTTGAGGGATATGTGGATCAGATAATATAATTATCTATTTGAACCTGAATATTATTTATATACGAAAAAATATTATTAATAATGTATAAGTATCTTAGTGGAGTCTGGCAATTCTAACCAAGATCACTTAACAATATAGGTCAACAATCTCGTTAATATTTGCTTCCAATGGGTTGTTTTTTTTACTGTTCTGCATAATAGATAATGCTTGAAGACGTGCAATCCTAAGGCCAATTACCTTGTACCATGTATTCCGGAAATCTATTAATACCTCACACTCCGATTCCAGATTAAATCGAAATATATATTCTTCCAAAATCATAATATCAGGCTTGTATTTCTGTGCTTGCACAATTAATTCGTATATCGCATTTCTATAATCCATATTAAGCTTAGACAATTTTGAAAGTAAATCTGATAATTTCGAATAAGTAGAACTTGCAATCCTATCTAATGCATTAAGGTAATCATTATATCTCATAGAGATGTCTGAAGACCTAGTCATGTCAACTTCACTAATGCCAGAACATATTTTTTCAGCGTGAGTGGTGGTATCTTTCCATAAATGGAAGATAATGGTTTCATCTTTTTTCGGGGTATCACATAAGTTCTTGATATAATTTTTAAGCCACTTTTTAGCCAATTTTTGCGACTCCACATCTTTGATATTTGCTATTTCATCTTCATCTAGATTCAGAGAGTCACTGCTTTGCAATAAATCCTCAACGTTTTTTGATTTCTTCTCCTTTGATTTCTTTTTATGATCCAAGGCTTTTGCCAGAGATTCGGGTGATGGTTGGTATTTATCATCATAATTTATAAAACGGGCACAAAGAGCAAATAAACTCTCGGTATAATAATCAATATTTATTTTCTTGTTAAACCTTTTTACCACATCTGGATATTCCATACAGTTTCCTTTTTTCTGTGATATTTTTTTTCCGCAATTATTATAAATTTCTTCAGGTACTACTACAATGTAACTAAACCGTTCACCGGGTTTGGGAACTTTATATAAATACTCATTGACAGGTAAACCCTTCTTAATAAGCTGTTGATTTTTCAATACCTCGTGACCATATCTAGTCCCCATCCGTGAAACAAACCGTTCTACAGAAATATTTCCCTGCTTACCCTCCTTTTTAGATCTCCATATATATGTCTGGATAAATTCACCATAATCTAACTTGAAAAGTTTTTCTACATTTTTCCAAAGAACTTTTTTAACAATCTGTTGCATCGTTTCCCCATTATTAACTTTCAAAGTTCTATTCATAATTTCCTTACCTACATCACGGAAGAGCTTAGATTGACCTCTTTTTACAGTATCCACTCCTTTAATGAAAAGTTCGCCTGGATTGAAATTTGGCTTTTTTTTATACTCAAGACCATAGTATTTTTTCTTTCCTGTAAATACTATAGGAAATAAGACCTCCTCGTATGCCATATTAAGGTAAGGTGTTCCATTGTCCTTTTCCAGCTCAGTATTTACGTCATTACGGAGATTTTTCATTACTCCCATAGAGATTTTTATCATTTCTCCCCAGTACTCTTCTCGTGAGAGTTGATCCAATTTATATTTTCGATCACACTTCTGGAAACACTCTTCTGGACATGTGAGATATAAAGAATCGGTATCCCCATATTTAACACCAAATCCTTTATCTTCAACAAATTTTCTAACAAATTTAATATTACGTCATCCAGCGGAGGTAACTCCACCTGCTAATTAAAGTTGATAGAATGGGAAGAGATTATTACCTGCCTCACCATAAAATGTATTCATATATAATTTTACTGCTTTTTGTTTTGAGTCTAAGCAACTATATTCGAAACTTTTTTCATCTAACTCCTCAAGGCATTCTTTCATCTTCTTTCGTTTATTAAATAGATTTTCCAACACCCTAGCGTATAAACCCTTTTCTTCAGATATATTATTGTGGCGAATAGACTAAGCTTCTATAGTTTAACCATTAAATGAAAACTCAATCTTGTGAAGTTTCTTTCCACTACATAATGCATTTATCGCATCTCCACGAGATAGTATAATTTTATCGGGTGAGAGGTTGTAAGTCATCATAAGACTTGGATATAGGGAAGCAAAATCTAAGCCTATTACCGGGCGTTTGTTTTCGAGACCTTTTATCGGTACAATAACATAAGCCCCTGGGTATTTACCAGATTCTGTATTTTCTGAAGCAATCATACTACACAACATGTTACTGCTCCAAGCTTCAGCTTCCAAAAAATTACATACTTTCATACTCCCCATAAAATAATGAGAATCAGAAAGAGAAACATACGCAATAGATAATACCTCCCGATAATCATTAATTACGTTATGCTTAATCATGAGTTCTTGGCATCTCAGTGCATCTATTATACAATAATTTGCCACTTCATACATATTTTTTGCAGAAACATCAGAGGGTTGGAGTATTGCTTCTTCATAATACTTATTCATAATATGAATGGACATATCTGCCTTATTATCTAATCCACAGACATCTAGATAATATTTAAGTGAACTCGCCTCTGATTTTAGATATAATTTTTTGAAGCAAACACGAACATCAATAGATATACATCCTGGTATTTTAAAATACTTTGAGTAGAATTTCTCATCAGATATCTTTATCTCACTTTTTTGATATTTCTATTTTATAATTTCTTCAATATTAGATAAGTTGGGTGACATGTAATTGAACATCCATTCAAGAATGCCTAAACTTTTAGCTTTTTCTATAACAAAAGGTCAATTATACTGTGAATTATTAAAACCTATCTGTATATCAGGAGCTAAATTTTTCCAACATAATGCAAATGCCTTCAGTATATTAGTCTAGTTTCCATATATAATTGTGATCCAACTGGGATCGGGCTTTATTTCCACATCAACTAAACATATTCACTTTAATGGTTTGGAATTATCTTGCCAATGAACGGTCTTACAGATTATAAATACTCGATCCTTATCATTTTTTGCATTAGGTAGATCTCCCATTTTGCGGACACTGTATATTTCTATATTCCACGTAAGGACAAGAGTGCGATCGTGTGAAAGAGCTTCAGTTATGACCTGATCATCTGACTTGTTTTTTCCTAGAGACTAATGATTATCTACAGATATATGAAAAGAATAGGAATAATGTGACAAATTCGTATCAGAAATATAGTTATACCCACTTAGTATCACCCTCTCGAAAAGAGGTAACTTTTTTTCACGAGCTATTTTTTGGTGATAATATTTGCTGGTATTATCGTCTGAAGTAGTTCCCATCTCATACCTACGGACCTCTTTCAAAATTTGTCTTCTATCATAATGGTTCAATGTAATAATGCAGATGTATACCTTTTCCTGGATGTGATATTCACAAATTGAATATACATGAATGACTTTCATTTCAAATTTTGATTTATCAATCTTTTCTGCTCCCAATATAATTTTTACTAATCTTGGTTTGAATATAGATAAAGGTTCATTATCTGGAACAATAATATCGAAGAAAGGTTTAATGCCCGTGATATCTACTCTAGCCTTTTGTCCATTAATTAGAAGGCCATAGATATGTAAAATATATGTCTATACATTATTAACATATTCAAAAGCATCTTCCATATCATTGGGCATAAAGTGTATAGGTTTTTTTTCAGATAAGTTTTGTTGAAATATAGCCATTAACCCATTATCACATTCTGAAATATTATTGCAAATTGGAACCACCTGCTATACTTTCCCCGCTCCTGTACTGGATCACTTGTAGCTGTGTGTTTTTATTTTTTTTTATTGGTGTGTATCAATCTTTGTTTGATTATATTATTACAATATAGTTTGAAAAAATTTAAATTAATTTTTCAGTGGATAGTAAATACCATTAAAAAAATTGTATCAAGTTTTAGCGAAATGAACATGAAGGACCGCATGTTCAATAATCAAGTAATTCTATAGGTCGGTAAAGTAATCTTCAGTAATATATTATATATAAAATAGAAGAACACTTCACTTTTTGATAGCATGTTTCCAGATATGTTTGCGGGTATATGACCATGGTAGGTAAATGCGTTAATAATATATAGTGGGATCAGTGTCTCTGACACATAAGAAAAATTGTAAAAACTACCCATTCAATGATATGTTCTCGGGTAGGTCAAGGTAAAGTAATCTTCAGTAATATTATATATAAAATATGGAAGAACACTTCACTTTTGATGACATGTTTTTGGGTAGATCAGGGTGATGTAATCTTCAGATATATTATATATAAAAATGGAAGAACGCACCACTTTTTTATGACATATTCTCGGATATGTTTTTAGATATACACTCACTGGTAAAAAGTATAGAGACACCTGACAATTTTTAAAAATAAATCATTTTAGTTATTCTATATAAA